ATTTGATTGGCTGATTTCCGACCATTTATCATGTGATTTTTTCAAATCTGATAACCTCCCAAAACCGATACAGAACCTATCCACCATGCATACCGGTTTTGAGAGGGCCAACAGTATTTAAAAATTTGTTTGACATTCCTAAAGGAATTAGTGATAGGCAATTTAAAACTTTATTAACTTATAAATGTTTTGTAGAAACAACTATATAAAAGTATACAGTAAAATTATTTATTATTTAAATTTCTTTCTTTATTTTAAATCTCTGCACATGGCCACATTCAGTTTACCAAAAAATATATAAATAGAAAAATTTAAATTTTACCTAAGTTTAGAGACTCGGAGGTTTGAGTGATAATAAAGAATATTTCATCTGGATTTAGAAATGTGGGAGTTTAAAAATAATTTTGCATTTTCTTAAGATCTTTCTTGCAAGAAAAGAAAATAGAAACAAGAAGGATCCTTTAAGGATCCTTTAAGCAAACGTAGAGAATCTTAAATATTTATTTTAATGAATATTTATACTAATGAACTAACGAACAGCACTAGAGATGTTAAATAAGAGCAAATAAGTGAGTCAATTTATCAGATTTCTGTTCGTGAATTCCTGGTAAACAAGATAAATGTGTATAAACCATTACCATATATTTAAAAATCTGCAGTAAGTTTAAAACTATATTAATACAAAAAGATTAAATAAAAATTTTAGTCTAAAGTCTATACAGTACATACATACAGAATCATTATTATATATTTATTTGATTGTGACAACGTTAAATTTTTTAAAAAACAGGGTTAAAAAATATATAAGATCTGCAATATACTAATTTTATGTTATGTATAGAATAACTGGATATAAAAAAAACTTGCTTTATATGTTTTTCTCAATACTGCAATAGCAAAATAAGTATATATATGCTATTAATATATTAATATATAATACATGAAATTTATCAAAGCAACTTTTTGTCATTCTATTTCCAAAATTTTAACTTTTCTAACTTGTAAAAATGAATACAAGTCAAACAAGATGTATGATTCCATTTATTCAAAGTTTATACAGTTAATATAAATTGTAATGTAAAACTATAGTTAACTATACAAATGTTTATACATATACATAATTATAAAAAATTTAAATACAGTAAATTAAACACGTAAATAAAGTTTAAGCTTCGTCAAAATATTTAAAAAAAAAACTATTATTACTTTGGCCGTAATCGAAGATTTTGAAGTCTCTAATCCACAACTATACAAGCTAGTCTATGCTTTTATCGAAGGAGAAGAATTAAAAGATAGCAAAGAGAGATATAAAATGAAAGCCGCAGCAAAAAAACATGCACAATTGTTTCACAAAGAGATTGAGAAATATAATCAAAGGGTTGAAAAAGTGGCAATTAAAAAAGACCAGGTTGATAAAGCATTTTTAACTTCGAATACATCATTTATCGCAAAGTATGAACTGTTATTAAATTTGGAAGATAAAGAAACTAAAGAATGTTTAATTGTTGAAATATTCAAAGAATTTAAAGTATTGATTCGTGGAAATGGATTGAAAATTCTAAACACTGAAAAACCGGATAATTTGATTTTAGTGCTTGTAGTACAATACGAAAAATCTAAATAAGTTATTAATGAAATATCTAATGAATCATTAGTATAGTATATATGTTATATTAGCAACATATTAGTGTAATCTTTATACTTTTATTAGTATGAAGGTAAAATTAAGTATATCATTATTCATTTGTGATATTACTTTTTTTTTTTTTTTTTTTTTTTTTTTTTTTTTTTTTTTTTTTTTAAGTGTGTGTTTTTTTTTTTTTTTTTTTTTTGTTTTTTTTTGTTTTTTAAATTTTTTTTTTTTTTTTTTTTTTTTTTTATTTTTTTTTTTATTTTA